ATGGTAGAATTATAGGTATAATAAAGAATTATGAAATACATTTCTTGGGCTGAGGAGACGACTCACCAGATAAAAGCAGTTCTTATGCAATCCTGGCAAAAGTAAATTCAAGCCACAGAAGCCGTGTAACAGCCAGATGCTGAGGCACACATCTGTAATTCCAGCATTCCTGGGGTGAGATGGAGGGCAGAGGCAGGCGAATCATCCAGGACCTCGTGTACTTGGTACAGCATCAGAAGCAACAGCTTTTTGCCTCAAAAACAAAGTGGAACTTTGTAGGCTTCCAAAAAGTCATCCGACCTCCATACACACTCCATGGCACAGCTATGCTCACACTCATATCTATATCATACAGATATACACACAATAAATGAACATATAACTTTTTTTTGGAGGGGGGAGTTCAAGACAAGGTTTCTCTGTGTAGCTTTGCGCCTTTCCTGGAACTCACTTGGTAGCCCAGGCTGGCCTCCAACTCACAGAGATCCTCCTGGCTCTGCCTCTTGAGTACTGGGATTCAAGGTGTGTGCCACCACTGCCCGGCGAACAATAACTCTTAAAGCAACAAATTTCTTTGTGATTTATTGTGAGTGCTTGATTGATATGTCTATTTTATATATCTATCTTCCTGGGGTTATATAAAAACTTATGGGGAAAAATGGGTTTGTGAGTAGAGAATTTTGAGAAATTTTGACTCATAAGACCTGTATGTGTGTGCCGGTGGGTGACATTTGACGGGGCGTTTTAGTTCCTTTTGTTATTCATGTGTCCAAATTCGTGAGAGGAAGTAGGCTGGGGAGGATGGGTGTCCTTTGGGCTGCAGGGTGAGGGGATATCATCTGCCATGGCAGTGGCCTCGGCTCCTAGTGTCACAGAGCCACCGGAGCCTACCGGCTCCCACCTTGGCAGCTCTGAAGGCAGAGAGTAGAAAGCACCTCCTCACGGCAGGGCTTCTCTGCTGTCCTTTTCACTCACTCTGGGGCCCCAGCCCAGGGGATGATGCCACCAGCCTTCAAGGCAGGACTTTCTTTTCAGTTAATCTTCCAGAAACCTCCTTCCAGGCTCACTCACCCACAGCTTTACTCATTAGTGCTCCAGATCTCATTTAAACCAATCAAATGGAGAATAAAAATTAACCATGATAGATTATGCTTGCTATAGGGAGTGTCGTCCCAGGCTGCCACCTGGCCTCACCTGGGCACTCGACGGACCGACAGACTGAGTGTCTGTTCAGTGTGATAGCTGGGGACAAGCCAGTCTGTTTCAGTATCTGTTTACTCCGAAGCCTTGAAACAAACTAGAAGCCCCAAAGGAACAAAGGGCAAGTGAGATCAATGAGACCCGAGGTGAAGAAGGGTCTCAAACAACGAAGTTCCTAGACAATGAACAATAATGACAAAGTGGGGTTTTCTGAATTTCTCTGAAGTTTCTTAGCTGCTGACATGACAACCTGAGAGTGTGGGTGACAGATGCTTTGCTTTCCTGTGGGCTTGTCCCTCAGCACCCAAAAGTGCTCCCATACATGAAGCCTTCTACTCTCCTTTGTGAGGTAAGTGTGGGATAACACAAGAGCCAACGGAGGGATGCTAATTTTTCTCCTCCTGTCTCTTAGACTTAGAGCACAGCTTTGCTGTTGTGCAGCACATTGATCCGAAAATGGCACTTACATCCTCAACCTAACAGTAGTGAGCACTGTAGCTTTAAAGTCTCCTTTGCTGATGATAAAGTGTGTCTTTACATTTATGTGTTCCCATTACATTCTAACAAAACCTCTCTGAGAGATTCAGGATGAGTTTCATTGTCGCATCTTATAGATACTGAACTGGGGAGGTTTACAATGGTTGTGGTCTGACCTCAGGTACTGATCGGTGAGCCATGGGTGCTCTGTGTTAATAAGTTCGTGTAGCTAGTCACAGCTGGCCATGTGGCTTTGTTGGGTATGTGTGGTCTTGTTGGAGGAAAGTGTCACTGTGTGTGTGTGGGGGGGTGAGCTTTGAGGTCTCTTAGGCACAAGCCCTATGTCACAGTTTGCTTCCTGTTGCTTGCAGATGAAGATATAGAACTCCCAGCTCCTTCTCTAGCACCATGTCTGTCTGCACACCACCTTGTCCCGTCATGATGATAATGGACTAAACCTCTGAACTATAAGCCATCGCAATTAAATGTTTTCCTTTATAAGAGTTGCTGTGGTCATGGTGTTTCTTCACAGAAATAGAAACCCTAACTAAGACAGCACCACTACCCAAGGCAGGCATCGCTACCCATTTCTTAGCCAGAAAACTGAATCTCAGAGCAAAGACAACATTTTCTCCATCTATGAGGCTTTGTATAACCAAGATCTTCAAGGTCTTCTGACAGCACACTTAGATATTCTCTTTAATGATGCTTAAGCAACTCTGATAAAATGTCACTTAAGGAGGCAAAGAAAAAAAAAAAACAGAAGTGGAACAAGAATGGATGCCTGTTCACTGAGTTCTAGGGGAGTGAGTAGAATGTGTCTCATGTTCCACACTTGGCTCCAACTGCCTGTGTCCCGAAGGATGGCCTTGAGCTGGACATCATGCCTCTGCCTCAGAGTGAGGACATGGACCATGACACTCAGTTTCTGTCAATGCTAGGCAAGCACTCCACCACTGTGGTATCAAGCCCTTGACTCTAATTCCTTTAGAATAACGTTCCTACTTCTAATGAAGTGCTGGATTGTTTAAATTATGATAAGTGAAACTTAGTGCATTTAATCACAAACTTCAGCTTTGTTTCAGACACTCTTCCGAGTTCAGTTACTCTGTTGCTCTTTCTTGAATGTCTTTTACTTTTCCTTGCCTCACAGAATTTAGTTCATCTTCTCACTCACTCGAGCAGTGTTCTTCAAAATAAGGAGGTAGGTTGGCTCACCGGGTCCAAAGGAACCAAGTATTGTTCCTTCTCACCCTTTCCCCCCCATTTTTAAATTTCTATTTTTGGGTTTATTATGTACCTAACATAATAAAAACAAAATATTAGTAGATTAGTATATTATACACATGTATAAAAAGGTTCATAGACATATTGAGGTATGTGTGTACCTCAGTTTTAATTATTATATATATATACTCATAACATGTTGGAGATTCATAGTGTTATGGGTCAGAATATGTTCCCCTACAAAGAAAAGATAAGAAAACAAAAATCACCAGCTGAGGATATGTTAAATTTCTGACCCCTAAAGCCTCAGAATGTGACCTTGTTTGGAAGAAGGTTAGATGTAAAAGTAATTACTTAAGATGGGGGTCTTACTGGACTGGGTTGTTCCTTGAATCTAGTGTGACTGGTGTCTTTATATGTAGAGAACCACATGAAGACACACAAAGAGGAAGGTTATTGTCATAGTTGGTGTTCTATTGCTGTGAGAAGACACTGTAACCATGGCAACTCTTATAAAGGAAATTATTTAATTGGGGCTTGCTTAAAATTTCAGAGGTCTAGTCTATGATCATCACAGGGAGCATGGAGGCACACAGGTAGACATGGTGCTGGACAAGGAGTTGAGAGTTTTACATCTGGATCTAGATGCAGCAGGAAGGGAGGAGTACTTGGCCTGGCTTGGACTTTTGAAACCCCAAAATCCACCCCCAATGACACACTTCCTCCAACAAGGCCACACCTCCCAATCCTTCTCAAGTAGTGCCACTCTCTGATGTCTAAGCATTCAATGTATAAACTTGTGGGACCATTCTCATTCAAAATACCACATTCCACTCCATGGCCCCCATAGACTTGTAGCCATATCATAACACAAAACTGCATTCAGCCCAACTCCAAAAGTCCCCATAGTCTATCATAGTCCTGATACTGTTTAAAAGTTCAAAGTTTATGGTAATCTCTTAACTGTAACCCTCCATAAAATCAAAATAAAAAGCAGATTGCATGCTTCTAACATGCAATGGCACAGAATATACATTACCACCCCAAAGGAGGGAAAGAGGGCATAGTGAGGAAATACTAGACCAAAGCAAGATAGAAAATTAGCAAAGAAAATTCCAAATTCTGTATTTTCATGTCTGATATCAAAGCATTCTTCAGTTCACCAACTCCTTTCAACTTTATTGACTGTGACACTTGGGCTGGTTCTTCACCCTGTTAGCAGCTATCCTCTGCAGGTATCCCACGACTCTGGCATCTCTAACATCTTGTCTCCAAGGAAATCCGGATTTCACCTTCACAACTTCACGCAATGGCCTCTCTGAGCCTCCATGTAGGGACACCCTGACACATGCCTGACCTTAGCAGCTTTCCTTAGCCGTGGCGGGAAATTCCATGACCCTTGTATTCTTTACTCTAAAGCCAGAGTCCCATTGGCTGAAGCTTCCAATTTCTACTTCTAGCTGGGGCTGGAACTTCTCTTTTTAAGTATATTTTCACTAGATTTCTGTTTTCAATGGTTTCCTTCACTGCTTACACTTTTCTTTCATTCCTTTTCATAAGTTAGAAGCTTGGCTGGGTGGAGTCTTACCCTTAGGTTACCACTCCCTTGTCCATTTAGCACCAAGGTTTTTAAAACTTTTATCTTCTTGAGCACCAGACTTAGATCCATTACATTTCCTGGTGCACCCTTTCTCCTCATATAATCTTCTATATAGAAAATACCATATAGAATTTTCTCCTCAATAGTCTTCATTGCTCAGCTAGTTCCTTTTCACTATAGAGCTGTGTAAGAGTGATCCTAATAACCACACCACAGAGTCAGTAGGAGGCTTTGTGAAAAATCTCTTCTACCAATGCCATTAATCCTCAATTTAGTCCCAGGCATATTTTTTTGGACAAGGGCAGAAAGCAACTACATTCTTCACCATAGTATCACCAGAGATGGCTCTAGTAGGTTACTTACTAATATTCTTCCCCTCTGAACTTCTAAAGCTTTGCTATCGTAATCTACATTGTTCTCAGCAGCACTGTCTTCCATGCTCCTACTGGTATGGCCCATTAATCCCCACTTAGAGCATCCAACTACTTTTCTAGTACCAAGTCCCAAGGTCTTCCATATTACTCCAACAAGCAGCATGATCAGACCTGTTGCAGAAATACCTCATTCCCTAAAGCCAACTTCTGTCTTAGTTATTGTTCTATTGTTGTGAAGAGACACCCCAACCATGGCGACTCTTACAAAGGAAAGAATTTAATTGGGACTTGCTTACAATTTCTGAGGTTAGTGCATTATCATCATGGCAGGAAACATGGCAGCATGTAGGCAGATATGGGGCTAGAGAAGTAGAATTCTACATTCAAATCTGCATGTAGCAGGAAGGGAGGGGTACTGGGCCTAGCTTGGGCTTTTGAAATCCCAAAGCCTGCCCCCAGTGACACACTTCCTCCAACAAAGCCACACCTCCTAATCCTTCTCAAGTAGTACCACAGCTAATGGATGAGAAATACTGCCATAGGCACAGAAGCTAAGGCAAATGTGTAGCATGTTATTTATCAGAGCCCTCAAAGGAGTCTATCTTGTGGCCATCTTGGTTTTAGATTTTCAAGCATCAGCAATGTGATATGATCCATTTCTGTGGCTGAAGCTCTCCAGCTTTTGGTGTCTTGTTACAGTCGCTCACAGAAAATAACACAAAAGCATATATCAACAAGAGCAAAATAACTGAAATATTTTCAGAAAATTTAACAGATGCAAGCTGTTTTCAAGTCATGTGAATTATCAACATGGTCATATTATCAGGAAAACAGAACAGATGAATCGGTAGCCCCAGTAGGGAGAGAAGGTCTCTTAACTGCTTCTGGAGGAGGATATCTCATCACTAAGGGTACACTGTGAGTGAGTGTCTCCACAGAGTTGACAGGTCCACAAGCTGCTCCAGAGACTAGAAGTTACCACTGGGCTTTCAGAGCACAAAGACAATCACTCAAAGAAAGACATCGGTGGTTTAAAAGAGAAAGAAAAGGAGGTTAATTTCTGCTAGCTTTCCCCCCATTTGTTTATTGTTTACAAGTCATGTTTTGAAGCAATTAAGAAAATATCATGCAAATATTCCCACTGTGACTACACATGAATAACTTTAATTCTGCTCAACATTTGTCTTCCTGCTACAGAATACATCTGCTATTTGCATTAACTTAATCTGCTAAGATATTGTGAACTAAACTACAGACTTCTACAGACATTTAGGAGGCAGCTTCCTATTTTTAATGGATACTTTTGACTTGCAAAATCTGCTTTTGTGGATCACATGACCAACCACCCCAGGAGCAGGAGCCTTTTTTCCCCAGTGCTGTGGGGACTATGTATGCATAATGGGTGTCATATAGGAAAACTGTTGGCTAAGCAGGAGGGATCATTATTAGTAGCTGAGGCAAGCGATGGAATAAATAGAGAAAATCCGGTAACCCTTGAACAGGCATTGTGTATTTGAAAGACTGACTGAGAAGAGTAAAAACTACTGTGTGTGTGAGGGTCACAAACCTCATAACATGTCAACAGCTGGCCACTCTGTAGGTTTGAGTTTATAGACTCAACCCCTTCACACACAGAGAATAAAGAGTGGGATCCGTGGTTTGCTTCTTCCACCAATGTTTATTCAACACATTATATATTAGATGCTGTTCGAGTTACTGGGAAGAAAGAGACAAAGAAAGGAAAAAGATGACCTTTGTTAGGGAATTTAATTCTAAATATAAACACATATATATTTATATATATATAAAGCATATGTATATAAAGTATATATAAAATATAAACACACACACACACACACACATATATATATATATCAGAGAGAAACAAAAGATACTTTCCAGTAGTGACAAAAGCTCTGAGACTAAGGAAAGGATATCAAGTATATGGTGGAGGGAATCTTTAGGTAGGCAACCATGGAAGGCCTCCCAGAAGAGGTGACAATAGCTGGGACTTGACTCATAAGAAACTAGTCATGCAAGATAGAGCATTTGCAGGCCCGGGGAGACCAAGTTCAAAGGCTACAAGGACACTGAGCCATAAGACAGGAAGGGGTTTTTCCTACAACCCCTGCTAATTCCCCCCCCCCCTTGCTCCTCCATCTCCTGCCATAGTGAAGTCCCCAGAAACTAGAACCATGTTCTTAGACTTCCCAGCCTCACAAACCAAGTGAATTTTTAATTAGGTAGGGTTTAGGATGCCAGACATGGTAGAAGAGTATTGTTCAGTGGAGAACCGGATATTGTGTGCCAAGAAGAAAGGCTTGGTTGCTCATGCTCTGCATTCTTTGCAGACTGGCTGGGAGGTGTTTCTCCATAGTGTTCCATCCCAGGACTCCTGCTTGTGAGCACCCTTTCTACAGTGTTGCTGATGGCCATGGCAGAAGATGAACAGGATAGGATGAATTACACATAAGGATTTATGACTTCCGTCTGAACCCATTTTCACTCACATTTCATTGGTCACAAGGTGTCCTAGGGATGCACCTATGTTTAAAAGTAACCAAAGCCAGGCTCTGGTGGTGCACGCCTTTAATCCCAGCACTCGGAGGCAGAGCCAGGAGGATCTCTGTGAGTTCAAGGCCAGCCTGGTCTACAGAGGGAGATCCAGGACAGGCACCAAAACGACACAGAGAAACCCTGTCTCGAAAAACCAAAAAAAAAAAAAAAAGTAACCAGTACAAACCAGGCATATTTGTTGAAATTCACCTAGTTAATGTGAGATAGTATTTTGGAGTCCTGAACCTAAAGTCACTTGGTGTCAGCCCAGCTTCTTAATTTGCATGCAGATCCTGTTTTCTTTAATCCATATTTTGAGGTGGTATGCAAGGCCCATTGAGAGCTCACAATTTGCTTTGCCCCTAACTAGATGGGGGTCAACATAGAGGATGGGTGTTTTGTGTCCATGCTTCCTGTACCAGCATCCCTGCTAAACACAAAATGAGTTTTGAGCCCATATTTACACTAGAAATTTCCACTTTCCCACTTCCTGTATGCCTTAACATATTCCTTCTCATTGCTCTTAGGGTCAGTTTCTTAATGAATTCAGACTAGGCGATAAAGATTCACAAGTTATTCAAAAATAAATCAAGGAAGAATTTGAGAACTCTTGTAATAAACATGGTTTATTTGAAAAATTTCAGGGCACTGCTGTCTGCTTTATAGTAGGTATAGGAGGATGCTTATTATTTCTCTTGTGATAAGTGAAAACATGAAGGACAGAAAATATTTTTCTTGCCCCCCTTTCCCATCAAAATGGTACCTTAAGAAAGATTGCTGTGATGTTATTTTCTGAAGGATTATCTGAAATTAAAAATTATTGTTATTATTATTACTAGGCATCTGATGTTTTGCCTGCATGTAGGCCTGTGAACCATGTACTTGCTTGGTGTCCATAGGAACCAGAAGAGGGTGTCAGATTCCCTGGAACAGGGAGTTACAGATGGTTATAAGCCACCACACTGGTGCTGGGAATTGAACCCGAATCCTCGGGAAGATCAGCCAGTGATCTTAACCAAGGAACAATCTCTCCAGTTTCTGAATTATCTGAATTTTAAGACCAATAGAGAAATGGAATGCATGTTTCCTGTGGAAATTATTTGAGGCATAAACAAACACTTTGTGAAGAATGGGATAGGGAAGTCCCAGGTGTGGAATGGCCAGAATGTTGATCATAGGGAAGGCAAGCATGGAGGGGAGAGTAGGGTGGGTAGATAGAACTTAATACCTAGTGAATGTACCTGATGGAAGGGTTGGCAGAAGATAGCACCTTTCAGGTAATTTTATGTCCTTGAACAAGAAGGTGATTTGATGGCCTCTTGGCCTTTTAAGCTGTGTCCAAAAAAGCAGAAGGGTAGACAGAGAGATGGGAAGGAAGAGTTTGTGGAATTTAGAAGAGAGATTTTCTTAAAGGAAAATAGGCACAGTGTCAAACCCTCAAAGGAGGGAGCAGGAAGAGGAAGGTACATAGTTCTGTGCTGTACCAGGGCACTGCTGACCCAGGCAGGGGCTCTCTTTGTATAACATCAACAACAACTAGATTGTTTGAGATGAACAACTGTTTCCAAGAAGTTGTAAAAGACAGTTCTGGGTAAGGTGTTAGGTCTCCTGAGAAATCGAACCTTCTGGAGATGCTTGGCAGTGTACCTGTGGGTGTAATCTGTAAGTAGGGTTGTATAGAACGAAATAGTGCTGGTAGACAGAATCATTCAGTGAGAGAGGGTGTGGTTGGAGAGTCATGGCCCCTGCTGAGACTGAACCACTGGTGGGAGTCTCAAATGGGAGGCAGGAGCTCTCCTCAGGCAGGTCTTGTGGAAGGAGGGAATAATGGATATCTGCAAGTGATGGCTGGTAGAGCTATAAGGCAGGGCCTTTCCTGTCTGGAGGGCTTGGCTTGCTTTCTACCTACACAGGGAGCTTATGCCCAGGAAAGATGGATGAGCTCTCCTCACAGGGAGTGGGTTTCAAAAGCAAAATAGTATTGCTCTCATTTTAGAGACGCTGGACTCATGAAAGAAAGAGCTTGTAGAACAGTACTGCTTCAAGCCAGCTTTCCTTTCACAGTCCGTGGCACCTCCTGGCCACCTGTGAAGTGTCAAGTCCATAGTAGGGAAAGGAAGAAGAGTGACCTTTGCTTTGGTCTGAGTAGACAATGACTTTGGAAAGATACTCGACCCTGTGAGGTTTGGTGTCTGGGGATAGGTCATGTGAAAATGTACCTCGCTAATCTTGGTGCATCCTAGTAAGAATGTGCATGCCCTCCACACTTGACTCTGTGATATTTCGTCTATCAGTCAAGATACACCTTTTCTTTCTTTAATCTCATGAATAGTTTGTGGCCCATGTTGAGTGCTTTTACCTTTTAAGAAGGGTGTTTTATATTTGGGAAGATACATCATTTGTTCTGTCTGAGATTGTCTCTTGAGACATTATTTTTTATTTAATTTTAATTCTTTGGTAGCTGTTATCACTAGAATGGGAGAAGGAGCTTTCATTTACATGAATTAGGTTGATGTACCAATCTCCCTCTTCTCTGGGGTTTTTAAAGAATCTTCCATGATTGGTTGAGCATGAGGAATCTCCCTGTGACAGCTCTATAAAGAAGAAAGACAGGGAAGACAATCTAATAGGCAGTCAGTCGATGAAGATTTTTGTCTGGAATAAATTTAGCACATCTCATAAAGTTTTTATAGACATTACCTTTCAAATGCTTAGAATATCATTATCTAGCCCAACATTTCTCTGTTCCTGATTTTTCTTATCCTTGACTGGAAAATGGAAAACAAAATAAAAAAAACCTGGCACACAACCATTTTTAGGAGGACTTTCTGTATCTATTTGAAGCTCAGCTAAGCTGTTGAAATGGCAGCCTTTTGCTTTTCACTGTCTTCCATTACTTCGTGTTTTTTTCCCCTATGGGATTTAATTAGAATCTTCCACGGAGTCTGACAATTAGTGGGCAATGGAATTCAGGACTTTTTCTTCATTTAACTTCAGCGTGAAAGCCTCAACAAGGTTTTAGGGATTTTGTCCCACAACTGAAGAAAAATGAAATCATGATAGAAATGAAATATTTGATCATTTCAATTAACAGACTAAAAATGGACCATAAGCCTGACCATAGGAAACTATAATGAAATGACTTTAAAAATCCACATTGTAAGTGTGAACCAAACAAGAGAAAATAAAAGCACTGAGTGCATAAGAATTCTATAAATGGTCTATCTGGGGGCTTTCCAACTCTCCCTTCCTCTGGCTTTCTTATAAAATCCACCGTTCTCCATGTCCCCTTACCTCCCCTTTGTCTGCTTTGGGAAGGAGTGAGCGTGACTCCATCAGAAGCCAAGCTTATGAGGCAGCTACAGAGGAAATATGTATGTGCCAGGTAAAAATGTATTCATCTCTTTCCACATGGATGCTGCTTGATGAGCCCCTCTCAATGCCCCTGGGTCTGAGGATTTGTGAAACTGCACAGTGTATTTTATTGTTTAATGGGACAGTGCATCCTCAGTGAAGCTCCCGCAAGCTCAGTCTTGCCCAACACCCCATTGGGGAAACGTTTGCCATCTTCTGCATTTTCTGGACAAACCTGGATGGGGACAGGTGAAAGGGAAGAAGAGAGAATTAACCTGAACATTTTCCCCCAAATTTTTGTTCACGGAGTGCTCTGATGTCTGCTGGTGGCAAAGAGAAAAGATGATGCCTTTGGATCTTTTTTTCCCCTTCTGGAGAGAGAAGCAGGTTGGAATCGTGAAGTCACAGAGTTCATGAGGTCACCAGCATGTATGTTCTCTGACAAGGGGAAACAGGTATTCGACGATTTGAAATGCATTTCGGTTGAAATGCTGTGTCTATCTCAGAAAACACAAGCAGAGAATACATCCCCAACCCCATGGCTTTGCTTCCCTTCCCTGCCTGGCTGGTGAGCTGGGGACGCTCCACTGGAGAGAAGACAAGAGGAACAGAGCCAAGGCCAGATATTCCCAGGAAGTGGTGGCCTGGGCATCCACACAGGAGCAGGTCGGGGCAGGGAACAAAGCTTGGCTACCCCTGGTGGCCAGAAAACACCAGGTGGATGCTTTATTCTAGGTGTCTCATTCTGGAAACTGAATAATAACAGAGAAAGTGCAAGCATTGATGGGAGGCAGGCATTGCAGGCTTTCCTAACCACAGCATCGCTGGCTCATGAGAGTATCACTGGCAAGTGAAGTTACTTAACCCGGCTGTGCCTGTTTCTGTTCTGTGAATGGTATATGGCAACCCCTAGGCGCTTACTGTCAGGATGTGGTACATATCAGGTAGTGCAGGCACTCTGCTGCCTTAGAGTGATCTTAGAAGTGCTCTCTAACTGAGAAGGCACATGACTGAATGCTTTCTTTCTGGACTAAGCTAGGTCTACAGGACCTACAGACTGTAGTCCCTAGATCTCAGTGGTCTAAGAAATAGCTCAAAGCAGAAAGAAGCACTGATAGTTGTAGACGAATTTCTAAATGGTGTTAATAAATAAAAACCAAGGAGCAAGAAATTTGGATTAAAGCCCGAGAGGAAGATCAGAGGAATAGGACAAACCACCAGCTAACCTCACCCCACCAACTCCGCAGCTTCCAAAAAGAGAGTGACTTCCTGTGTTACCCAGGGTTATATGCCTTGCTATTCTGCCATCTGATTTGCTCTCTGTCTAGTTACATCACTTCCTCTTCCTGGCCAGCTCTGTCACTTCATGTCTGTACAGGCCTCCAGAACTCTATGTTTGGTACTGAGATTAAAGGAGTGTGTCACCATGCTTGGCTTTGTTCCCCAATGTGGCCTTGAACACACAGAGGTCCTGCCTGCTAAGTGATAGGATTGAGGGCATGTGTTACTGCTGCCCAACTTCTTTGTTTATTTAAAATGTCTTGCTATTTCCTCCCATCTCCAGGCAAACTTTATTTATTAAAGCACAAATAAAATATCACTACATTTCAGCACAAATAAAATATCAGATAGTGTTATGTCACTTTGCAGGGCTGTCCTATTTTAACATAGCAGACTGCAAATTTCTCCAGAGGTATATGGACCCTATCAGAGGTGCAGTGAAGGACAAGGAGTTGCCATATTTCATTTTCTTTGAGACACATCCTTCCACTAAGATATTTTAAATCAGGAATCTCCTATGGTTAGTGGTTGCTCACTGTTTTAACAGCTTTTTTGGGGGGGGGAATCAATTACATTGTATTGATATACAAATTAATGATGCATCTTATGATCTATGAAGTCTTTCATCCAATAAAATATTACTTATGATGAAAAATACTATGATATCAAACACCTCCAAGTCCAAATGTGCAGAACTTTGAGCATACTCAACTAGACTCTTTCAGCACATAAACTGCTTCATCAACCTTTAAAAAAAATGAGGGTAAAGTATGTGTGAGGTAGGAGTGTGTGTGTGTGTGTGTGTGTGTGTGTGTGTGTGTGTGTGTGTGTGTGTGTGTGTATGAAGGTCAGAGGTAGACTTTGGGTATCTTCCTCTATGACGCTCCACCTTCTTCTTTTGAGACGGGCATCTCATTGAACCTGGAGCTTGCTGTTTCAGCTGTATTGGTTGACCAGAAAACCCTCAGGACCTACCTGTTTCTGTTTTCCAGCTCTGGGTTTTCAGGTGTGTACTGCCTTGCCTAGCTTATTTACCTGAGTGCTAGGGGTCCTCATGATTACTTAGCAAAACCTGGTCCACTGAGCCAGCTCTGCAGGTCAGTGCCTAGTCTACATTTGAAATATGTATAGAATTGGATGGAGGAGATATTTTACATGGTTGTCTTTATATAGCAGATGTGTCCAACCTGTGGCTCATTGGTCACATGCAGCCAAAGGTAGCTATCTATGACTGTGGCTCTACATAAGATCACAAACTTACTTAAAACAAGAGATTTGCTAGGCTGGTCACCAGAGTAGACTGGTCCAGGCCCCTCTGGACCACTGCCAGCAGACCAAGGTGGGGTCAACCTTGTGGATTCTTGAGAGCCTCCCCAGCACCCTGCCTCTTCCTATTCCCATGATGTCCTCATCTATCATGGTATCTTCCTCCCTGCCCTCCCACTCTGTCCCTGTTCCAGCTTGACACTCCCATTTCCCTATGTTCTCATCCTCCACTCCTCACCCTCTGCCACCCCCCCCCTCCGACACCCAATCCACTCATGTAGATCTCATCCACTTCTCCTTCATAGGATCATCCATGTGTCCCTTCTAGGGTCTTTTCCCATTAGCTAGCCTCTCTGGAGTTGTGGGTTGCAGTCTGGCCATCCCTTCCCTCCCATTTAGTATATTTTTATCTTATATTTTTAAATTGACTTACAAAATTGTAGGTTTCCATATGGCTTTTCATACACCTTTGTTCTGGTTAACTGATGTCACCCAACTCTCCCAGTCCCCTAGACTCTATCCCTTCTTAAATCTCTCCATCCCCAGTATTTCCTACACCTTACCTTCATACTTACCACGTCTACTTTCCTCTCTCCTGAAGGCTTGGCCTTCCACCCCCAAACAGTGGCCCCATCAAGCTCTCTGGCATTTCCAAGAAAGTCAAACACAAGTCGAATAATTTGAAACTGGGATCCACAAATGAGAGAGAACATTTAGTGGTTGTCTTTCTGGGTCTGGGTTACTCAATTCTGTGTAAACTCCCCCACCCTCAGTTTTATCAATTTACCTTCAAGTTTTATGGTTTCGTTTTTTCTTTACAACTGAAATAAAATCCCATGGTGTGGATACACCACATTTTCTTTATTCATCAATTGATAGATATGCAGGCTGATCCCAGTGAAGTTTTTCTATGATTAGTTTTTGGTAACTCAGTTGGGTGGTTTTTCTTATCGTGAATTATGTAGATGACAATGTCATGGTGCCACCTCAAAAGGTTGGACACACCCAACAAGGTCTTTTGTTTTGAATTCAGAACATCAAAATGGCTTACTCTCTTTTGAAATTAGATAATTTCTATTAATTTTTAAAGCCATAGGGAGGAAAACACTGACACAAGAAATTATGAGCCATGAAGGGCAGGTTGGGTCTGTAGCTGTGAATTGTGATCATGAACATTGATTTCAGTTGTGGGCATTTGATTCTAGGTCCACATTATGCTGGTATAAACTTGTTTTATAATGAATGTGCTCCTCTTCCTCTTTTTTTTCAGCAATATACATTGTCTTTAATGATATTTTGTCATCCTTAATTCAAGTCATGTTAGAGACATTATTCTTTAATATTAAAAAGAAAACTGGGTAGGCAGTAGAAGGGAAGGAGAGAAGATTGTATGTTTGAGGAAACATTTTCCTTTGTCTTCCTTATTCTGTATTGGGCCTGAGAATTAAACCAAAAAAATACATTAAAGGAAGAAAGGCTTATGAATTGTATTTGATATTAATATTTCACATGTACACAGAGGCCTCCATATATGAGAAATGAAGACAACCCTCTCAAGGTGGATATACCTAAGAGGTTGTATTTTATTTTAACAAGGAAAGGCACGAGCCTATAAACGAACAGATGTTTGGGGTACCAGCAGCAAGCTGTGGGAAGGTCTAGGAAATATATGGAGGGAGGCTAACAGCGGAGATGAATGACTGCAGGAGTTTTGTGTAGATTCATCTCATTGTGGACTCCTCTCTCCCCCAACCTCCCTGTCTCTTCCTGGTACAGAAACAGCACTTGTCCTCTCGAATATTTACGCTCTGCTTTTAGGTAGTAAATTGCAGGTCAGCGAGCCCTCCCTCATCTGTTTTTCCTCAGTTAACTTCAGCTCGGAATAGTCAGCATGACAGGGTGCTGTATACTGGGGTAGTGTGTTCTGACTTTTATTTAGTTATTCTGGTCTTTATGCATTCCTTCAAAGGAAGAAACTGGTCCTATTAAGCATTAGAATTTTTCTTGTGGTTTATCCATTGGGCTCTTTCTATGAGACCCTGATATAGGCCACCCCTTCAGAAAGTTCCAGGACCTGCTCTGAATCCCACCGGCTCTGGGATGCCAACCCCGTTTCTGGCATTTCTCTCCATTTTATGCCTCAATCTTTCTGGTTGTGATCCTTAACCACCACAGCCTCCCTTTTGACCTGCTCCTCTCGCCTGCTCGTTGCAGCAGGTGAATAGAGCCTTCAATCTGTCAGCCTTCTAACCCAGCCACACCTTGGCAACATTCTCAGGGAAATGAATTTCATCTGCTTCCTGGCAGTTACGAGCCAGGTTTGGCTTTTGCCAGTTCATCTCTCAGTCAGCTCTGCAGTTGTGAAATGGCCTAGCAACAACAGCGTAGCTCACACCGTGATTTATTGTTTTAGTGATTAGGTGATTTTATACAGTGTCTAGTGTGTAGCGCACAGGAGCTAGTCTTCATCCTTTCATGACTAGCCGGTAGTTCTTCTAGTGGAGTCTGTGCTCGTATTAACCGGGGACCAGAAATGCTGCAACAGTCCTCAAATGAACTTATAATGAATGACATTTCTATGCTCATGGAAACATCCAACATCCTTCTCAAGATTTTCAAGAGAAGTAAGTCCTCATGCCCAAGCTGTCCATTGTATCTCAGGAATTAAGGGGTCGCCTCTAGACCATCGCCACACTGTGTCCTTCTTGGGAGAATTGAGAAAAGTCACTGGCATCATTTTCTATGAGGTTCAGTTCTCTGGAGGAACATGTTCAGAAATGCTGACAGAGAATAGATTTCCATAATTCACAAAGTTGAGTTTGTATCTGAAAGCTATTTGATTTAAAAGAACACTTGTGACTCAAAGGGGGAACGTAGCTAATACACACATTCTAAATATAGCACACTTGCAAGGTATTCTGAAGACTCAAACTCCAAGAGGATTTTTCCTGTTGTTTATGAATATCCTCCATAGACCTGATGCTGAAACCTATTTCCCAACTAATAATTTTCATCTTTACATTATTGAACCTGAATGCTGACCATAGGCTTTTCTTGCAGATGGTACCAAATAAGAATGTTGATGTGTTTATTTTGGAAGCCACCCGGGAGTTTTGTCCAGAGTTTTAGCCAATCTCATTTTCACTGGACTCTTGTTATTAAAAACTGAAACCAAACCTTTGGTTGATGAAAAAAAATGGAGCCATGTGAAGGCAGGTGTCTGGGATAATGCTGTTACATCAAATTTTTCATTAGTTTCTCTGACAAGAGAAGAATTAGTAGAAGACACAGAGATACTTTCCAAGTTCATTTCAGCTATAACGATGCAAAATTTCAAAGTGCATGGAGATAGCCAGAATATCTTATGTTTATAGTCTCAGTACTAGAGAGGTAGAGGCAGGGAGATATTAGGTTTGAGGCCAGTCTGGACTACCTCTGAAGACCCTAGCTCAGAAAAACCAAACAGGTACCCAACCAACCAAGCAAACAACCAATGTGCACGGGTAGTGCTGATGTTCTGAGTGACAATGGGGCCCTGGGGGAGAGCTCACTGCTGAGACTGGTGGAAGAGGGTACCTGGAGTAGTTTCCCCTGGTAATGTCCATAGTGATGGAGCAGATGGAAGAAGAGTGAAGACAGGATAAGAGAGAGTAGAGGTTTCCACAAGGCAAGCTCATAGTTATGGGAGACGGGAGAGGATGCACTAGAATTCTAAAGGAGCTGCTAGTTTGAATGCGCTGATGTGTGTAAGCAGGTGTTTTCAACAGTTTGGAAAGGCTAGCTCTCAGTGGGCACTGTTGCAGACTGGTTTTGATTCTTCCAGGCAGGTACAAGGA